AGATGGGATATATTTGGTTTTCTCCTTTTAAGTAACTCATAGGGAGTCTTCTCTACAAGAGGTCTAGTCATGCACCTATTTATGATGTAGCATGCAGTATTTACAGCTTTTGCCCAGACGCTATGGGGCAGTTTACTAGAAAGAAGCATAGTCCTAGCCATATCATCAAGTGTACTATTCTTTCTTTCAACTACTCCATTTTGTTGTGGAGTCCAAGGAGCAAAAATATTATGATCTATGCCATACTTATCACAAAATTCAACAAATTTAGCATTTTCAAATTCAGTACCATGATCAGACCTAATTGATGTAAGTTAATTACCTAGTTGTTTCTGAGTTTTTCTAACAAAAGAAGTGAACATGTCAAATGCTTCATCTTTAGATGTTAAAAACAATGTCCAACTAAACCTAGAGTAATCATCAACAAGCACCATCACATATCTTTTACCACCTCTGCTTATTGTTCTCAGTGGAACACAGAGATCCATATGGACCAGTTCCATCGTCCTGGTGGTGCTTACCACTTTCTTGTATTTAAAAGAGGATCTTACCTGCTTCCCCCTTGCACAAGCCTCACAAACTTTGTCTTCCTTGAACTTGATGTTAGTCAGCCCTATCACCAGGTCCTTTGAGACTAATTTGTTGAGTTGACTCAGACTTGCATGTCCAAGTCTCTTGTGCCAAAGAAGGGGATCATTGTCCAACACACTTAAGCAAGTGAGTTCATTTTCTAACAGTATGGACAGATCTACAATATATATATTTCTCACTTTTTTTCCTGCAAAACAATCTTGTCAGTTGTAAGATTAATCACAAAGTATTTTGTAGAGGTGAATACTACCAAGTTCTCTATCACACAGTTGCGATACACTAATTAGACTGTATTTTAGGCCGTCTATCGAATAGACATTCTCAATCGAGTGAGAGTTAGTCTTACCTACCTTACCAACCCCAATGATCTCACCTTTATTCCCATTTTCAAATGAGACATTACCTCCTTTGAGGTCCTCAACTGAAAGGAAGCGGTTCTTGCTTCCTGCCATGTGCCATGTGCCTTGAGCAGCCACTATCCATGGACCATATTTGGCTGCTCCCCTTCACTTAGACATACAAAAGGAAATCAGGGGTTAGTCTTAGAAACCCAAACTAATTTGGGTCTCTTTCTATAGGCAAAAGGATGAATCAAATTCTTTTTATCCCAACCTGGTAGCCTATTTTTCCCTTTTCTTTTTCAGTGCATTCACTTTTATAGTGACTAGTCTTACCACAGTGTGTGCAAATTTTATTCTCGGGAAGTGTGAGCTACTTGCTTTTGGGATCCCTTTTAGGTGGTAGATTCCCAAAGCCAATTCCTCTTCTATTGCTACTGTGATGTTCCTGTATCTATGACAGTGCATCGGAGGACCTGTTCCATTTACAAGTTCTATCTAGTTCATGCTTGACCTTGCCTAGATCCTTTATCAAAATTCTTACCTGCTCATCCTTCTTATATAACTTGTCTTTTAGTTTACCTACATTTTCTTCTAGAGTGAGTTGTGTGCAATCAACTGTCTTCTTACTTGTTTCTAATTTCAATTTTAGGTTTTCAGATCTAAGTTCTAGGACATTTGATTCAAATGCATGAACCTGGTTTTTTAGTGCAGTATTTTTACTTATAGTCTCACTAACCCTAAGTTCCAGGTTCTTACACTTTGCTTTCAAAATCACACATTTATTAGACAGCTGTTTCTTTTCATGTTTATATCCTCAAATTCATCAATGAAATCTAGAAGTAACTCAGATAGCCTTTCTTTAGACAAAAACTTAATCTTCTCTTTTAGATGGATTATACTTACTTTAGATTCCTCATCGAATTCTCCAATTACCATAAGTTCTTGTTCATCTTCATCTTCATCATCATAGTCCTCGTCTGAGCTTTCTCCCCAAGCAGCAACTATAGCCTTTGTTGATCCTTTGTTCTTCTTGGGATGAACCTGTTCCTTCTTTCTGTTTCTTCGTTCAGCTCTTTCCTTCTTCCATTCAATTTCCCATTGAGGGCAGCTTTTGATGTGGTGATCAGTCTTCCCACACTTGTAGCAGCCTTCATTGGTCTGTTTTTCAGGAACCCTTAGTTTGTTGTAGCCTCCACTTCTTGAAGAACCCTTTCCTCTCATTACGTACTTCTTGAAGTCCTTTGTGATCATAGCCATTTCATCATCTTCTAGATCAGAACCTTCAGTGATTCTGAGTGCCAGGCTCCTTTCCTTCTTGGGTACATCCATCTTCATGGTTTGCCTTCTAAGTTCATAAGCAGTGAGATTTCCAATTAGCTCATTCAACCTAAGAGTGGCAATGTTCTTTGATTCCTGAATGGTAGTGATTTTGCTCTCCCAAGTAGCTGGCAGAACCCTTGTCAGAATCTTCTCAACTCTGTCTTCTTCACAAATAATCCTTCCAAGAGACTTAAGTCCATTTATTAGTGTGGTGAACCTTGTATACATCTCTTGGATGGTTTCTCCTTCCTTCATAGTAAAATTATCATATTGAGAATATAGTAACGTTCCTCTGGACCTCTTTACCTGAGGTGTTCCTTTATGAGCCACTTGCAAAGTGTCCCAAATTTTCTTAGCAGTAGTAAAACTTTGAATTCTACTGTACTCGTCTGGATCGAGTCCACAAACAACCCATTTCTTGGCTTTAGCATTCTTCTCTCATTTTCTCAAGTCGTCAGCAGTGCAGCCAGCTCTTGTTTTTGGCACCTCTTCTTCTTCGGCATTTATCTTCATGGTAGCCAATGGACCATCTGTGACAATGTCCCATAGCTCATAGTCTTCTCCTATGATGTGGTCTCTCATTCTGTTTTTCCACCAGGAGTAGTACTGGCCGTTAAAGAGTGGTGGCCTAGCAGTGGATTCCCTTCCCAGTTTTCAGGTGGTGCACTCATCTTGATCTTCTCTTAAGGTGTTAGCCTCTTCAAGGATAACCTGCTCTGATATCAATTGATGTTTTAACTTCAATACCACACAAGAGGGGGAATAATTTGTGTGGTGTCCAATTTTTTGCGTGAACAGATTATAGAAGGACCTGGTTCTTCTATGTATTCCTTATACTATTATTGCAGAATAATAAATACAGAAATTAAAGAACACAAGTATTTTACGTGGAAAACACCTGGCTCAAAAGATGAAAAAGTGACGACCTACTTCCAGTAGGATTTTCCCAAACTCTCCACTAAACCATTGAGCCAAAAACTGCATTTACAAAATACCTTTGTAAACCTAGGATTAACTCTAATCCCGTTGTGGCGACCAGCATCTAACTGCTGCGACAACTTTAAGTTAACTCTAACTTGAATACTCTGAGTACCTATTACAATTGCCTCTAGATAAAGCTGAAAGGTACAATATGAAAATACCTACTACAATTGAACTAGAATAAAAGACAGACACTTGGAACTTATTCTTCTATCTGGTTCATGTAGCTTCAGGTTCGCACACTTGAATCACACACGAACTGCTTGCAAAATGCTTTGCTATTTTGCTCTCAATTCACGTTTAACTTCTGCTTTCGTGTGTTACCTGTAGAATGAGAACATCCTGCAATTTATAGAGTTAGTAGAGTAGAAAATAACTAGAGTTCTAATGCTACTCTTCCTTGGTGGAAGAGTTCTAGTTAATCTCAACTTCTAACTCTTTCCTTATCTTGGATAATGTTCTCGTTGAGTAAGGAGTCCTTCTCCTTATCAATTATGCAATCTTTTCGATCAGGAGATATCTATTATTATGCCAGATTTTGTTTATCTCCTGCATGTGCATCTCACGTGCTTTGAATCTGCCCGTGTCTATGCCTACCAGTGATGGACCTGGTTCATCCCTGAGTTCCTTTGTCAATCTTCAAAACTATTCTTTACTTTGGCCAACAAATATACATCAAAATATGCATACATTAAGCCAAATATCATGATCTCATATTTTTTACCTTCGATTTGAAGGGTTTTCCACGTTAAAATTTATTGTTCTTTATCTTCTTTATTTTTGAGTTTGCCTCTTCCTCGACATAACAAAAATAACTTCGACGAAATACAATAATGTCTATGAATGATGGGGATTGTTGCATCGGAGCAGATGAAACCACAACAGTAAGTACCGAAAGCATTTGAAGATGGCTCCGGAACAATCTGTACAAGATCCCGGAGATTGCCCGAACTGGCTTTGGAATAAAGAAAATGACTGGAGACTGCTAGATCATCCTGGAAAAAAAATAGAAGGAATCAGAATCAAGAATTGGCTAGACTCAATAATTGCCAGCCCATTCGCAATTCTTTATAAGGTATCTTTGTTCATCTCCAGTAAACTATCGTATATGCAAAGTTATAAACACATGTGTACGTTCGAGGAATGGAATGAAGCAAAACTTGCACTTTCTAGAAACATTCTTCTATATGTTTGAATAAACATAATCATGTTTAATATTTGCTCATACTTAGAAGCAAAAAAAGATTACAAATCCGAACAATTGTGTTCGGATGAACATGAGACGTCCTCTTCATAAGCACTATAAATATAAAGGCCCTCTCTTATAAAGCTATCAAATGGCTAAAGGTCGGATGCCTTGTTTCCCGATTGTGAAGTTAACCAGATGTATCAAATTCCTGGACATTATCAAAATCATAAGTATAAAATTTCTGGTCATTAACATCCCCGGTCTCGAAGGCTGTGAGATTATAAAAATTTTCGGGTACAACTAAAAATTGAAGAGTCAAAACTCAAAGAAATATTTTCGGGTACAACTAAAAACCCGAGCTTCAACACTCAAAGAGGTACAACTTAAAACCGAAGAGTTAAAACTCAAAGAAAAGTTGCGGGTGGACGCTAAAAATCCGAGATCAAGTTTTATGTGATAACGGCACTTCTACAGCTCCAACCGGTCATCGAAGAAAGAATAATAAGTGGCAGATTTATCATCTGAATCCCTAAGTTCTCCACTCTTTTTTCTTACCCCCGATTTTGGTCCCGATTGGATTTTTCCGGTAAGGTTTTAAATGAGGCAGCGACGAGGGTAGAAAGAAGAAAATCTTCCACTTTTCTGTCACATCAGAGTGAGTAATAGAAAAGTGAGGGACTATCTGTATATGATGAAAACCAGTCTCAAGAGTTGGGTGAATGAGGAAGCAACACCTGTCAATAATGACCAATTTCCTCTCTTTTTGTTGTTTCCTCTGTTTTCATTCATTCACTCAACGGCCTTTGAGTTTCCCTTTCATAAGCATCTCAGTTTTTCTGGGAAAATTTTATACCCCTTTTGTTTGTTTTACTCAATCCAAAGTTCTAATAAAAGAAAATCAAAGGAAATTTACTGGTTTTTGGTGGGTTTTATGTGTTTTTATTGTTTGGTTTATGGGGTCTCCCGATGGAACATAATACAAGCTGAAGGGTACTTCCTTTTGCTCATATTTGTGTTTCTTGATTGTTTGATTATTTCCTATTTTTTGCTTGGAGGGTATTTTGCATAGTTTATAAGATGAGCTTAAATGGATAAACATGGTCAGTAAGGATTCATATAGTCGAGGCGTAATTTTTGTTGTAGTAGGGTATGTTGCATAGTTAAGATACACTCTGGAATGTTTGGTTTGACATTTTTATATTTTTCCTAATACAAATTTCCAACTAAAAAAATTAAAAGGAAATCACTGGTTATTGGTGGGTTTTATGTGTTTTTCTTGTTTGGTGTATGGGTTCTTTTGATGGAAGATAATACAAGCTGAAAGGTACTTCCTTTTTCACACTTGTACTTTTTAAGGTTTGCTCATATTTATATTTTGCCTTTTTGTTCTTGGAGGGTCTAATGCAAAGTTGGAATATTGACTTTGGAATATTGGGTTTTGGTTAGAAGAGATATGGAATTGACATTTTAATACTTTTCCGAATTCTTGTTTATGACTTGTTCATGTTTAGTTAGAGTAAATTTAGAACTGAGTTTTGATTAGAAGAAGAATAAAGTTGATATTTTTAAAGTTCTAATGTCAACAAGTTTATTTATTTAATCTATTTAGTTCTGTCTTGTTTTGATCTCTTTTGGTTGAGCAGATATTAAGGTGCTCAATGCTAGTTTTGTGAAACTTAAGTTCTTCACATCTAAGGTTCTTTTTCTGTTTCTTTCTTTTTCCCTTCTGATGAAATGCTTGATTGGAGAGTAGAGCTATTTGGCGGTTTAAGTATATAGAGATTTTCTTTTGGTGTTGAGGAAATGAGTATATTTTTAAAACAACACAGTAAGGTATTTGAAACTTGAGTTTTTATTTTAAGGATTTCCTGTGGTAGAATCATCACATTAATTGGAATTGAACTATCTTTTTTGTTTGCTCTCATTTAGGTGGTTTGATATTCTAATCTGAGTGAAGATGGCCATGTCACTCGAAGACCTCCTTGCAAAGGAAGGATTTAATAGGAGGATGTCAAAAACAGTGCCTAAAGCTTCATCCGGAACAAATGCAAGAAGTGGACCTATTTACCCACTTCATGAATCTCATAAACATGTGTCTTCATCAGGCACAAGAAAAATCGAGAGGACAAAATCTGCTATCCTGTGGCATGACTTGAAAGATAAGACCCCAAGAGTCAATTTTGCAGACAAGAGGCAAAAGAAGGAAAGTAAGCACAGAATGGGCTCGTGCGATCTATCATCGGATGTTAAGAGAATAAGTATTAGTTCTTTTGATGAATTGCTAGATGTTGATGCTTAACATAGCAATGAGATAGTTGAGGTTGGAGAGCGAAATGGTTCGAGATTCAATCATATATACCCGAATAAAACTTACAAAAATGGGAGTGGTGAAGGCAGGTCTTCTAGCAGAAGTGAGGAAGGAGAAGGAAAATGACAATCCTTCGGAAAAGATACAAAAGCAACAATAAAATGACTCAATAATTCTGGTAAACTTCTTTCAGGACATCCAAGCTTTAGAGATGATTATCAGAAACATATTGAACAGAACTGAGACCTCCTACAACACATCAACCAGAAGTTTGTTAACCAACAAAAGTTATGGTGCAGCTGGAAGCCTAAGAAAATCCGAGATTGAGCACACTGCAACTCTTCCTGCTCTTGATGAAGTTGTCGTTCAGGCTGTAATTTCTATCTTGACTGGATATATAAAGCGTTTTCTCATAGATGAAGATTTTAGGACATCACTTTGTCACAATATTTTTGCGTCCCTAAATTTTGTTGGATTAGAAGAAGGCCTAAATGCTGAAAGCAAGGTCCTAGCTACTCTTGAACAAGCTATAGGAACATTTGAAAGAGCTGCAGGATTGCACGAATGAAAAAAAGATTAAGAAAGCCTTACTTCAACTTAGTGTAGCAACGGGGTTGAATTCAAACGATTTACGATATGGTTTACACCCGGTATTCCCAATTCTAAATTGGCAGCTTGTGCTCATCTGTATCTCAGTGTTATATATAAGATACAGAAGAAGGATCGTATAGCTGCAAAGCACTTACTGCAAGTTTTCTGTGATTCACCTTTTCAGGCAAGGACTAATTTGTTGCCTAATTTGTGGGATCACATATTTCTGATAGAAAAACTGATCAGAGAAGGATGTAAATTTTAATTGAAAAGTAGAGCAGAGAAAGAGGCAAAAGACGTGAAAAAGAAATTGCTTGACTGATTGATTACAATGCTGCAACTGCAGTCTTTTTATAACAAAAAAAACATAGCAAACTTAAGCTAAAAATTAGGAACTACCCCACAAAGTTTTCTCCTAAAAACTAGATAACAAAACCACGTTAAACTACTTTCTAAGGACTAGGACAAACCTAAAAAGTAGGAGTTTTATTTACTAACACCCTCCCTTAAACTAAAAGCTTTCGAGCTTCAGTTTATCTTCAACTTCTTGAGTTCTTTCATGGTGCAAAATCCTAGTAATCTTCTCAAATTTTTGAAAGAAAGTAACTCTAGAGGTTTAGTGAAAATATCCGCCAACTGGTCTTCACTCCGGCAATATCTTAGCTCTATTGTTCCTTCATTGTTAAGATATCGCAAGAAATAGTACTTCACGTCAATGTGCTTGCTTCTTCCATGTAGCACCGGATTATTTGACAACTTGATGGCGGAGATGTTGTCACAGAAAATTGTAGTTGCTTCTTCTTTTTTGAATTTCAGTTCTTCAAGAACTCTCCTTAACCAGATAGCTTGACAAGCACAAGTTGTAGCAACAACATATTCAGCTTTGGTACTTGACAAAGTGACAATTGATTGCTTCTTAGAAGACCACGAAACAACCCCTGTACCTAACATAAATACATAACCTGAAGTGCTCCTTCTGTCGTCTTGATCTCCTGCATAATCACTGTCAGTAAAACCAATCAAACCAGATTTTTCACCCTTCTTGTAGAACAAAACAAAATCCTTAGTTCCCTGTAAGTAGCGAAGGATTCTCTTAGCAGCTAGCAGGTGAATTTCAGTTGGGTTCTCCATGTATCTGCTTATAAGACTTACATCATACATGATGTCGGGCCTTGTAGCAGTAAGATACATAAAACTACCTACAATTTGCTTGTAGAATGTGTTATCCACCTTCTTTCTGCTTCCAGTTTTGCATATCTTCAAGGCAAACTCAACTGGAGTGTTGGCGGGATTGCAATTTTGCATCTTGAACCTGTCCAAATTTTCCTGCACATACTTCTTTTGGGAAACAAATATTCCATCATCAGATTGTGCTACTTCTAATCCAAGAAAGTAATACATCTTACCAAGATCGGACATCTCAAACTCATCCATCATAGACTTATTGAAATCGGGAAACATGAAACTATCATTCCCAGTAAATATAAGATCATCAACATATAAACACATTGAGCATTTTTCCATATTCTCCGGTTTTAACAAAAAAAGAGTGTTCATATGGACTTTTAGAAAGTAAGCCTCGATGCGACTATACCAAGCTCGCAGAGCTTCTTTTAGTCCGTAAAGAGTCTTTTTCAACTTATACACCTTATGCTCATTTCCAATTTTTATATAACCAGGAGGTTGCTCTACAAATACATGTTCTTCCAAGTGCCCGTACAAAAATGCCGATTTGACATCTAATTGGAAAATAGGCCAAGAATTCTGTGCCGCTAATGCAATCACCAATCTGATTGTATCGTGTCTCACAACCGGAGAAAATACTTTTGTGTAATCAATTCCATATTCTTTTTTGTATCCTTTAGCCACTAAGCGTGGCTTATACTTGTCAACTTCACCATCTTCTTTCAGCTTTGTCTTGAATACCCACTTCACACCAATAATTTTGTGCCCTTTTGGAAGATCTGATAGCTCCCAGGTGCCATTTCTTTCAATAGCATCAATTTTGTCATCCATAGCTTTCCTCAATTTCTCCTCTTTGACAGCATTTTCAAAAGTTGTAGGATGACTATCTGCAAACAATGCAAAGTAGGAAAAATCATCTTCATTTACATCAATTCCTGTTACCTCATAATCCGTCATCCACGCGGGCCTTTTGCGAGCACGACAAAGAGACTCATATGGTGCATCTTTCTTCCAAAGCCGAAGGTGAAATTTAAGCAGCTACTGGAGTAGAATTTTTAGAATTTTCGGGTATTGCTGCTGCTTCTTACTTCATTATCAATTAAGATTGGAATAGACTACTGCGATTCCAATCCCAAGAGTTTTCTTCATCAAAAATAATATCTCTGCTGGTCACAACCTTCTTTGTCAATGGATTGAACAACTTGTACGCCTTGGATGCCTCGCTAACACCAAGAAAGACACACTTCTCGCTTTTGTCATCAAGCTTCCTCCTCTTCTCGTCTGGGACATGTGCATAGCCAATGCAACCAAAATTTTAAAATGATCTACAGCAGGTTTCTTTCCACTCCAAGCCTCCTCTGGAGTCATGTTTTGAACAACAAATGTTGGACTTCTATTCAAAACATGAATACTCCAATTTATTGCTTCTGGCCAGAATGTCTTTGGAACTTTTCCTCGAGCGAGCAAGCTTCAAACCATATTGAGAATGGTTCTATTCTTCCTCTCCGATACACCATTTTGTTGCGGTGTATATGCCGTTGTGAGCTCTTTTCGAATGCCATGAGTCCCACAAAATTCTTCAAATGCCTTAGAGCAATATTCGCCTCCGCGATCTGTTCGGAAGCTCTTAAAGGTCTTTCCTATCTCATTCTCGGCATGAGCTTTGAAGATTTTAAATACATTAAAAGCCTCTGATTTTTTCTGCAGAAAATACACCCAAGTCTTCCTAGAATAATCGTCAATGAAGGTAATAAAACACCTTTTGCCTCCATTAGAGATTGGTCTTACTGGACCACATATGTGAGAGTGCACCAACTCCAAAACATGCTTTGCTCGCCATGATTTGCCCTTTGGAAATTGAGATCGGTGTTGTTTGCCAACAACACATTCTTCACAAATTTGAGAAGGACAGGTAATTTGAGGAAGACCTGTGACCATGTTCTTCTGTTGAAGTGTCTTCAATCCTCCAAAACTCAAATGACCATAACGAAAATGCCACAACCATGAGGGATCCTTTACTTCCGTTATCAAGCAAGATTGAATACTATCAATCTTTATCGAAAATAATCTGTTGGAACTCATCTGAATTATTGCAATAGCTCCTCGCACATGGTTATAAATTTTACATTCACCCTTCTTAATAGTGATGACATAACCTTTCTCTTACAACTAACCAACACTCAGTAAGTTGCTTTTCAAGTTAGGAACATATAACACATTAGATATTGTTTCCACAAAATCATTCTTGGTTTTAATCTTGATGTCACCTTTTCCCGTTGCATCCACAGTAAAACAATCACCAAAACTAACTTTAGAACGGAAGCCTTCATTTAAGTAAGAAAAGCAAGACTTACTTCCAGTCATGTGATTAGGTGCAGCCCGTGTCTAAGTACCAAACGTCTGGCTCGTTTTCCTTCTCACCTTGAATTGCCATCAACAAGGTCTCCCCTTCCTTGTTCTCCACGTAATTGGACTTATCTTCCTTTTCTTTGTCATTAGGCAACCTAGTACAACATTCAGATGCGTAATGACCAAATTTATGACATCTATAGCACTCTATCTTAGATTTGTCATGATCTCGACCTCTTCCTTTGCCTTGAGATTGGTCATTATTTGCTTTGAAATTCCTACTGGAATCTCTACCTCCACGATCTCCTCTTCCTCTGCCTTGACCTCTACCTCTACCCCTTCCTCTGGAATTGGAAGAAGAAATAAAAGTAGAAGCCTTCAAAGCCTACTAATCGGAAGTTGAACTGCGGTTCATCTTCTGCTCATGTACTAACAATGAGCTTTGTAATTCATCTAGAGAGAGTACATCAATATCTTTTGACTCCTCAATAGAGCAAACGCCATAATCATACTTTGGTGTGAGTGAACGCAATATCTTTTCCAATTTTATGACATCGCCCATGCTCTCACCATGAAATCGTATCTTGTTACATATCTCCATGGTTCTAGCATAATAGCTAGTGACAGATTCTCCTTCCTTCATCTGCAAAGTTTCGAAGTCCCTCCTCAAGGCTTGAAGTTGTGCTTGCTTCACTCTTGTAGAGCCTTGATACTTTTTCTTCATAGAATCCCATATATCCTTGGAAGTTACTTTTCAAAGAATAGTTTCCAAGATGGGACGTTCAATAGCCTGAAAGAGAGAATTTTTTGCCTTTAAATCTTTCTTCTTTTCTGCTTCGAACTCTGTCTTTTGAGCATCCGTCAAAGTTTCCCCTGCTGCTAGTGCTTTAACGCTATCCTCAACAATTGGCCAATACTCTTTTGACCGTAAGAAATTCTCCATCAGCATACTCCAATGGTCATAGTGACCATCAAAACGGGGAATAGCTGCTTGCACAAAATTGCTCTATGAAGTCATAGATGAAGAACAATTTTTTGATTTTGAGTAAACTCTCCCTCACAGGGATTTTCTTTTTTCTGGATCTCACGTTGCTCCTGATACCACTGATAGAAAAACTGATCAGAGAAGGATATAAATTTGTAAGTGAAAAATAGAGCAGAGAAAGAGGCAATAGACGTGAAAAAGAAATTGCTGGACTGCTTGACTACAATGCTGCAACTGCAGTCTTTTTATAACAAAAAAAACATAGCAAACTTAAGCTAAAAATTAGGAACTACCCCACAAAGTTTTCTCCTAAAAACTAGA